AAATAAGAAAACCAAAACAATGAGCATTTTGAAGAAAAGGTGTTTTATCATAAAAAACTTTGTATGGTGTCTTACCACCAAGTCTTGTAAGTGGAAGACAATTGCAAGTCTAAGTCAAAAAATTTATTGTAAATACCTAATATTGATGATCCAGCTTGGTATCATCTAAAAGTGTTTGTATTCTTTGAAAAATAATCCACACTATATGCTATGCTATGTTGAGAATTTTATGTGTATATGCAAGAGTGATCATGTGTCAAATGCCTTCAACTATGAAGTGAGAACCAAGCTTATTATTCAAGAATTCATTACTTTAGTTAATAAAGAAGTTTTGACCTTTCTTCTAGTTCTTCTTTGCACCTCTGCTTCCCAAGTCTTATAAGTGATATGTACTTAGTCCTTAGTTTGAAGAATTATAAGGCTACAATAGCCAAAATATTCATCAATCCATACAACTAATCATTTTGTGCCACCAAAGCTAATTGTATCAAAATAACCATAGTCAAATACTATTATATCTTAAGTACTATTGATACACTTGTACTTATGTGAGAAAGGTTGTTTATAGGCCTTGCCCATAATGCATGATTGACATATAGGTATTTTATCTCTTTCTCCCTTAATTATTAATCTATCAATAGTATTCATCTACTTTATCTTTTGTATTATATGCATTAAAGCACGTATTAATACTTGATGTAATTTAATAAGTATATGATCTAAAATAAATGAATTAAAAATTAAAGCAATTTCTTTAATTTTACAAGGCATAAGATAAATTTTACTAGCTAGTGTGCCTCATGTGAATAAGTCACCTAAAGACAAAAACTAATCAACTCTATTAATATCTAAATTAAATTTGTAACCTTTCTTGCATAAAATTATAGCTAATAATAGAGTATGATGTATTCTAAGAATCTAATAGACTTCTTTTACAACTATAGGAATGTATTTTCATATATGATCTAAAACTATGAGATGCATTTCATCTAAATCTTGAAATTTGCTAATGCCACCATCATAGCTTTAGAATTGATTAATTATATTTTTATTAAAATTGAGGAGCTTCTTCTTTTTCTTTAGATGTTTCCTTCTATAGCACTATCAATGCAAAGGTAATGCCATAATTGAAACAATAATGCAATTGTTATTTTTGAATTAAATGATGTTTCTCGAGTTGAAAGAATAATACCTTTGTTATTTGTTTTAGGACATTTTGCATCACCTTATCAATGCCCCTTTTGTCTACAAGCCCTATAAGTGCTTCTAGACTTATCAATCTTAGGCTTCTATTTTTGTTGTAGATGGTACTTCTTTAAGACTTGTTATCTTCTTCATGTACTGCTAAACCAAAAAATAATGAACTAGTCTTATCTTTTCTTTGCATCTCCTCTTCAAGGAGAATAGACCCTACTTCTTCTTTGATGATCTCTTTTCTTTTCCTTGATGTAATTGACTAAATAAGTAGATTCCAAGATTTTGGTAATGTAATAAGTATAAGAAATGACATGCTTTGTTTACTCATTTCATGACCGGCTTTAATATATTAATCTTTAAGGTAAAAAATCTCTCAAAGAAAAATCTCTATAGATTCTCTATCCACATATCAAAAATTATGCAACTTCTTTGTTAAAAATATCTCAATAATAACTCTTATGGAGTTGTGGATTTTAGCCAATACATCCCACATCTCTTTTGCAGTATTGCATTTGAGTATATGAATTAATTGCAAAGGCTTAACATTGAGTGCAATCAATACTTGTGCACTTGCAGTGCTTGAAGTGCTTCACTTGATTTTCATTTTAATTTTTCATCAATGCTCGTAGGATATTCTAATGTCCCGTCTACATGCATGTAAATAAAATATGGAGCATTCAATAGAAGTTTATGATGTGTACTGCCAAGTACCACATTCTTTGTACTTAGCTGCCTCTGTACAATAACGATTAAAAAACAAATTGTAAGCAGATTTCATTGACCCCTTCTTAATCATGGGAATACTTCACCCCGAGTAAATAACTGCTACTTGGTGCTGCCATGAAAGAAGCTGCAAATCTAGAATGTTTTCGAGGAAGCATCTAGAGTTAATCTTGAAAATTCCTTGGAGCTTGAATCCACGGATCATCACAATCAAATGCCACCGTCAATACATGTCGAAGAAAACTGAAGAGTGACAACGCCGAAACGATCCGAGTTATGGACAAGTTCACACATTTGTCATCGAGCAGCAGGATACTCTTGCGTGGACTTGGAAAACCAAGCTCCATCACTGAAACATGGTCGACTGGAAGTATACAAAGCTGTGCACTTGCAGTGCTAGAACTGAATTTCCACGGTACTTGTACTAAGATTTCCTCATGCTTCAAATTCTTAGGTAGTATCTACAATTGACTACACGAATATCCATAAACGCAGACCATATCTTCAGGAACATGGATGGTGGTGTGAATCAGTCCGCATGAACTCCTACCTGGAAAATATCAAGAATGCGTGAATGGCCACAACACTCGGCCCTTTTCTGCCGCAAGGATAATCTTAAAAAATGCTTCAATGAGCTTTTATCTTTTAAATGGATACTGACACGTGTAAAACAAGTGCACACAAAGTTGACGAGGACGACGTCGAGAAGTGCACAGGACCTGTTTTTTCTGTGAATTCTCAACTGATTCCAGGTGATGACTCCGACTAGCTCTTCAAGTGTTCCATACCCACCTGTAGATGAAAGCGAGCGTCCTCATAAAAATACACGCAACCCCAAATTGAACTGAACTTGATGGTGCCTGCAAGCATTTGACAACACTCCACCAACACAAACAAACGAAGACCATTCCCTTGGAATCCTATTGCATTCAGTGCAAAGAGGGTTGTGCAATCAGTTTCTACCGAAGCATGAGAGACACGTTGAACAAGCGCAAATCGAGTCCTTACACGATATCCATTGTGCAAATCTCAACAAGCATGCTTAATGTTGCCTAAATTTCTGAATTGGTCCTCTCATCATTCACATGTTTAGTGAAGATTTGCTAGCCTCATAATCTCTTCACATTGTGAACTTACTAAGGTCATCAAATATTAGGATTACTTTCATTTTAATTTTATTGAGGTTGAGGAAGATAGAGTGAAAGTGCTTTTGTAAGGTTTTGAGTGGATTCATTTCTAGTCTTAAATATTGTAAGTTAATGTAAGTTATTAGATTTTGTTTTAAAACTTAAAATTAAAAAAATAAAAAAAAAAGTTATTGATTGATTTATGTGGTGTTAGTGTATATTAGTTGTAAAATAGTTTTTAATAGGTTTTTAATGTACCAAAGTAAGAATTTTAATATAGGTGTTTTGTTATTATTTCTAGAATATTTATTATTATTATTATTATTATGAAATAGTAAATTTAAATTATAGACACAAAAAATTTACTTTTGATAGTAACCTATTATTGATGCATTATAAAATATTACCAAAATAAATACAAGAAAATTTTGCAATCTAAATAGAACATCTTGTAATTTAATTCAAAATTTATAAAAAAATATATCAATCTAATTATTATATATATTTATAAGTTTTACTACTTATTATATATTCAAAACATACACTTTTTTTAAAAGAATCATATAAATTGAAGCATTCTACTATTCTAATATATAATCATCCAATGTTAGTATTATTGCTCTAACATTTTTTTCTTTTTAAAAAAAAATTATATTTCTTTAATTTTATTTATTAAAAATATTATTTTTTAATTTATTAAAATATTTTTTAAAATATTAAATTTTTATTTTGAATATTTTTTAGGATTATTTCTCTAACAGATATTATTGGCAAAAATATTTTTGATATATACAAGAAAAATAATCTCAAGAAAGTTAATTATAATTTAATTAAAATTTGAATGTATGATTTGATTCAATTATTTGAAATAAGAGAATATTTTTAATTGCATAATTTAATAAAATCGACTTATTTTAAAATTTTAGGAAATAACATAAAAAATATTTAAAGCCTTGTTTGTTCTTAATCATTTTAACAACAAATCTTCGTAAGGTTGTTTAAAGCTAGAGATAACTTTTACAAATTTTAAGACCATGCAATAATTATACAATATTATATATCTGAATGTTTATTTAGAAATATTTTGTAGTATCTTGAAATGGAAAGACACATCAAATCTTTAGCATGATTTAGTAGAAATGGGTATTTCAATTTTTTTTTTTATAAAGTAGAAAATACTTTAATAAATTAAATAAAAATAAAGAAAAAATTGCCTTGCAATAGTGCTCTCAAAAGTACATTACAAAGACAACAAAATAAACTATTTTAACAATATTAAGGTATAAAAGGTACTTGACAAATTTAGATCCATAATATAAAAGTATCATTATATGATCTTAAAAAATTGTAAGTCATCTATGACCATAAAAAAAACTAATTAAGGTGTGTAATGAAGATGACTTAAGACAAACAACACTTTGAATTTTCTGTATATTACATTTTAAAATGACTAAATAATCCTATATTTATAGTTTAGTTAAATAAAAAATCCTTCTTGTAAATTCTTAAATCCAAATTTTTAATAAAATTATTACTGCTGTATTTTAGATTTGTTTTTTCTTGTTGATTAACAAAAATTATTTGCTAATTGTATCAATTACAAGAGGTAGCACACAAAGAGAATACAACATGGAGATTAATAGATTTGATTGAAGAATCTGATTAGAATCATGCTAACCATAAAGGTTTGTACTTCTTGAATATTGTTTCTACCAAAGACCATGATCTGTAACAGTGTAAGCAGATTTTTCCAACTTGGACATAGACAAGCTGCTCACAACCAACAAAGGGCTCATATCTCAAAATCCTGCATGCAAGCATCAGGATGAGAGATAGGATGCAAGAATTAGCCTTTGATAAACATGGCATTCAGAGGATAAGATACATGTGCAAATGTTTTTTGTTAATCAAACTCATCATTCCATGATGAAATCAATATTGTTGATCCAAATCTCAAGGCAACGTTTCTTCTCATAGACCCAAAAATTCCCCTTGGAAATGCCACCAACAAGTGAAACGTCACAAATAGATGATAGGCTGTCAACTTTAGTCTACTTTGTGAAATACAACATGTTTGAAGATTGCACAAATTTTGTATGTAGCTTCTACCTGTTCAACCTCCACCAATGTCCTTCTGTGGTGGAGACATTTTAGAACTCCAATAGAAAGTATCTTGAGTCTTTACACTGAGCTACTCAAAGTACAGCATGTGAAAAATGGTATAAACTTATTAATATTGTCAACAGCTGTTGCACCCACCTGAGCACCAATTCTTGTTTCCCACCTGTTAAGTGAGAGTTCATGTTACCAAGCTACATCCCTTTCTACAACACGAAGTTTTGGCCTATATTGCCTCTGGTTTACCTTGATTCAAAGTGGTTGGAATTGTAGAGGTGTAAACGAAGCATTTGACATCTTCCCAGTAGAGCTTGGGAATGGCCCAGTCGTGAATTTGAGTGTAAGCCTGCATATGAAAACCCACTCATACGGCGAAGAAATTAGAGTTTGAAAAGGCAAAACTCACAGGTGGTTGGTAACCCTAATCGGGACAAATCTGTGCAAAGTGTTGAACATAATTGCTTGTAGAAAGTTCATACCTCCAGTTTGTCGAGAAGTTCACTGGCAGTGGGAGCTGACACAACAATGTTCCGAGCTGATAACCCGAGAAACCCCTCCTCTAGAGCTTTGTCAAACAAGGCTAAGAGTGGGTTGTAGTAGCCATCCACATTCAGCAACCCTACCTAATGAATATGAAATTGGAAATTAGTGCGCTATTCCTTTTAGCTTTCTTCTATGAGGGATCAGCAAAAATTTGATTGGAAACCAGGATTTGCACTTAAAACTTACTGGTTTTTCGTGAATCCCAAGCTGCGACCAGGTTAAAACCTCAAGCAGCTCCTCTAATGTGCCATAACCACCTGCACAGCATCATGTGACGATTCAACGGGGGTCTGTGTAACCATAAAAAAGTAGCCATGCATCTGTACTCTGGAGTGATATAACCCCCGATTGATCCTTTTGTGATATGCATTTCCATAAAAATAAAGCGACTGGAATGAAACCTGGAAGAGCTACGAACGCATCCGCCAGTCCAGCCATTTCTGCCTTCCGTTGATGCATGTCTCGTACTGTTCGCAGCTCACCAACCGTCTGGCCGCAGAGCTGGACAATGTCAAGACTCTTTGAGACTTCTCATCCAAATCAATGCAGAATTCAAGGCCAGTACCTCCCAGCAGCAACTTTCTTCGGTGGTTAAAATTGAACTTTGCATGCAAGTGTAGTGCTCTGCTACAACCAGTACCGAAACAGATAGAAAAAAAAAAAAAAAAAAAAAAATACACAAATTGAAGAAGAAAGAATAGTGCGTAGAAGCGTACATCCTTGCCCATTAACGCCGTCGGAATTACCCTGTCAACCACGCATGCACAATTCTCGAATTCTTAGATCTCCGAGTTGAATGTCTGATCAACAGCGACCATACATCCCCACGTTTCGATCTCTGTAAACCCTATCCCTTCAACTCCATTATATTTCAACATGTCACCAAGATAGTACCAGCAATTCAACTCCTCCTTTACCTGGCGTACAGGTCCCTCGTATGAAAGGCTATACATCTACTCATAAAATGCAATTCAAACATGTGAGGCAGTTGTTATTCTACCAACATGCATGGGAGATGCAATTTCTGCGAAGAAATTGTTATTGGGGGCTATACCCTATAACATGGCCGCCTCCCCCGTGAACAGTTTGAGCAACTTGACCCATCAGCCCGATGCTCCCTCCTCCATACACTAAATCCACTTTTCTGCTCACCTGTAAATCAACAAGACACCTAAATGAGGCTACGAACCCAATTACCAATTCTTTAAATCCGCAGACGTTGCTAACGAGTGAGCAAACAGTTACGTTTGTTTAGCATTGGGTCCTCTTGCATCGTGACTGAATTTCTAGGTGAGTTGAGGAGGGGGATAGATACAATACCAGTTCGCGTCCCAAGCTGAGAGCGACGTTGCTGAAGATATCTTTCTTGCCACTGCTGCTGCCGCAGAACACACAAATCCGTTTGAACCGTTTGGAAATTATCCGTTCCTTGGCAAGAAGAGGGAGGCACAAGCTCTCGTTATCGGCTCCTTGCTTTCCCATTGTCCCTACCGTCATCCCGGCTTTCACTGCTGTCATTGAACTCTCATCACAAGACTACGACGAGTGAACGAGTAGAGAATGATACAGCCTTCTTCAGCAACCTCTCCACCACGTAACCGCATGCTATACCAACAGAAACAAATCTCTCTCTCACTAAACACTTCACTTACGTACAGGGGACATGCTCTAGGTAGGGCTCTATGCATGATATCACAGCAGATCGTAAGACTCAGTACCAAGAATTCGAAAATTCTAAACCATCAACGAAGAAGATACGAAGGTAACAGTACAAATTTAAACCAGCTTCCAACTTACATCACAGAACGAGACAAAAAAGGCATTGCGTGACAACTCATCATCCCCAAATTCTATTCCACAAGCACAACCCGAGCTCTAAGGTTTCAATACCTCAAATCCTCCACGGACGTTGAAGTGGAACACCGCTGGGAGAGTATGAGAATGCGCTACTCCAGCCCCTAAAAAAGCTACGATGCCTCACCTTGAAAGACTAGAAACACGACACGGAAGGAGAAAGGCGTCGGCGAAAAGAAATTGCTACTTCCTCTCTCTCTCTCTCTCTCTATCGCTGATTCTGCTGCAATTTCTTCCACCCTCAATTTCCGAGCTCCCTCTTATAAGCTCCTCACTACGGCATAGCTGACATGCACCGTGATGCGAGCAGTTGAGATTAATGCAATAAATCCCTCCGTAGGCATTTAATATTCGCATCAATTCAGCCGAACCCCGAGATGGGCGGGCCTCCCAGGGAACAGTTCCTGAGTGTGCATCAGTGGTTACCGGCGAACTTTCAGTGACGCCTTTTTGCGATGTTCTTCTTTTATATATAAATAAATGAGTTTCAGGCGATGATCCATGTTGGGAGGCTTCACCCACTTCAGCAAGGCAACTGCAAAGTGGAGTACGCCTGTGATTCCACCAGCACCGCTCTCCAGCAATATTTTCCCCCACCATCAACTGCTTCAGCACAATTTCTCCCTTATGTTCGTTGCTTCCCACATCGTCGTTGCAACAGTTTTGCATCCTTCCTCCCTTCCTTCCCTTCATATTCATGTCAATGCTTCTTCTGTCAAGTCAAGTCAAGGCTTTTGGCCCAGTTTGAGCTTCTTCTTCTTCTCCTTCTTCCTCACTTTGCTCTCTCATCCTGCTTTGTTTGTGATGTGCAGTCCTGAGCTCACTGCTCAGCTCTTTGTCGCACTGGGTCAGATCATGGTTGTGAGCAGCAATGGCACTGGATTTCAGCCTCTGGAATGAATGGTCCGCAAACTGCTTTTGCATATTGTTGGAGTTCCTTTGCAAATCAGTGCCAGTTTTAGTCCATCTCTGGGACTTTGCAAAGTGGAGGGATCCTTCTTGTGTCCCCTTCATGCTCTCGTGTGCTTTGCTGCAGGGTTGATTTAGCAATTTTATTCTTCCTCTATTTTACTTTTCTGAAACATCTTATAGTCATTGTTTCTAATCTAACATCCATCTGATAAGGTTACAAGTTTTATATCTAAGATTTGAATTGCCAACCTTTTGATATCAATCTATCATCTCTTAGTAGTTGAAAATTATTGTGGATTAAAGATGATTTAGTTTTTAATGATGATTTTCGGAAACTGTTTATTGATGAATTAAGTGGTGTTTTTTTAATGAAAATTTTGCACTTGTGCATATTTGAAATACAACTATCGGAAGTGGTCTTTGTCTATGGACGTAAGTTTAATTAAATGCAAAACATGTTAATTTTGCATCCATGTGATTAATTTGGAATTGCTTGTGCATCAATTCTTTAACGATTTTAGAGTTTTATTAATAACTATATTTTTTTTTTTTTTTTTTTTTACTGCACAACCATTCTAATAAAATATCTCATACTAGACAAATTCTTGAGAACAAAATTGATAACTACAATTGACATTGATTACTAGATTTGTTGAATTTTAATATTTAATCAAAAAAAAAAAATTATCATTGAATAATGTGTATATATATAATTAATTAATTATATATATGTATATTTACTATAAGTCTAAAAAGTATGTATCACATTTTTTTATATAATCTTATTTTTTTAGTATATATAGACATATTAATAACACCAAATTATATTTAAAAATAAAAATAAAAAGTAAATAATACAAGAATAAAAAAATTATAAATTTATTCTAAAATATTTGTTTACTAAACATTGAAAAAGATTATTTTACAAATTCTATCATATATCTACTATCAAAACATACATTATAACCTTTCTATTTAAACACAAAATAAAGACATCAAGACACATCTTCATTTTTTTGGAATTAATTATAGTTGAAGGAAATTAAAGTAATTTACAAGTAGATACACAACTAAAGAAAATTATAGATAATTGAAAACTTTGATCCCTAGCTTTTATCAAATATTTATTTTTAATATTATTAAAATTTTACTTATTGGAAATATATATATATATATATATATATATATATGAAGAAATCAAGAATTTTAGGTTTTTTTATAATTTATTTGACAAATAAGACACAATTTTATTGAATAAGCAAATGTTTTATCAAAGATTACAAAAATTGTAAACAACCTGTTTGAAAAAATTGGAAGAAAACATTAGTAAAATATTTAATTAGTAATTTCTTTAAAATATAAAATTTACGTCCTTCATGCTTTATTAAAGATGCTTTATTCTGTATAAAAACTCTATTTTTATAATATAATTTTTTTCTAGTGATTCAATATAGATTAACTATAAATTCGTGTAAAATTTAGAAAATGTAGTATTAATCTCTACTATATTATTCTTGTGGATCATTGAGCTACATAAAAGATAAATTCAAATTATTGCAAAATTAATATAAGATCTTGACTAATTACTTATTGAAATATTTATTTAACTAATCTGCCAAGATGTTTAGTTAATTCTAAATATGATATAAATTTAAATTTTATCAATTATTAGTACTAAAAATATAATAATTTAAAGTCAAATATTTTTCAAAATCATATTTAGATATTAAATATTCTAAAATTTAAAAAAATGAAGTAAATATTTTTATAAGACCAAATTATGGTTCTTTAAAACAAAATTTAATTATCAAGATGTAATGTATAAAAATATTAATTCACATATAAATATATATACATATATAATAAAGTTTTTATAATAATTTTTGATTATCAGTATGTAATTTAAAAATATAATCAATTATCAAGAAATTTAGTCAAGTTAATCTCTAAAAACAAAACTATTAAAAACATCAAATCATTATTGAAGTATTTGTATTAATTAAAACCTTGATCTATAACATTTAAACTAAAAAAAAATATATACCAAAAATTTTATCTTCTTATAACATAATTTTATTCTAATTATTAATATTATCAATCCAACTTTTAATAAAAATAATTAAATAAATAAATAAAATCACTAATTTTTTAGTTTTCACTAAAAATTTAGATAAATTATTCATTGTTTTTGATCCCATAAATGTTTTTAGAAAGATTGTTAAAAGTAGAAATCAATATAAAATACACGTACATGATAAGCACACTTATATTTTTGCAAAAAGAATTTAATATTTTTTAAAAATTATATCTACTAATATTATACTTAATACTTTTTAAAAATTAAATAAAAAAAATAATATAAAATATACTAATTTTTTTCATTCATCTTTTAAATATTTCAAGAGCTTTTAATTTAGCATTATAAGAGTAAAAAAATTAATTGAAACTTAAATATGTCATTAAATTAGTCTTTTCATCTAAATTATTAAATTTTTTAAAGTAATTTTTTAATATGTTGATATACATACATTTTAAAAATTTATATATACTTGTTATTTTTGAATATATTATAAATAACATGATTTGATAATATTTTTATAAAAAGATATATATAAATAGAAATATACTTATTTTGATATAAGCTAATTATTTTAAATTATAATTACTTAGTATTTTTAATTTTAAAAAATAGTAAAAGTATATAGAAAATTTTGACAAAATAAAATTCAACATATTGCTTTAATAGGACATTCTTGACATAAATATCCTACATATAAATAAAAATTAATTCTTATAAGAAGATAAAAAAAATTCTATCTTAAACATATTAATTTTTTCTTTTTGCATTAATTTTTAATAAGGCAAAAAAATTAAATTCATAAAATTTTATTGTTATTATTTTATTTTTTAAAAATAATTTAGAAGTATAGATTATAATTCACTTAATGGACCAATATAAAAGGATTAAGTACATGAGTGTAGCTTGTGTAACAAAGAGAAAGAACCTTTTTTTTTTTTTTTTTTCTAAATATCTAAGATAAAACTATTAGGATAAGTTTCAGTTTCACATTATATTTCCTTTTATAAACTTTTTTTTATAGGTTTAGATTATTTTTAATGTAATATCATGTTCTTATATTTTGTTAAAAATAAAAGAACCACAAAAAATTAAACCAATATATATATGTATATATATATATATATATATATATATATATTCATCATACTGAACTTAAATTAAAAAAATAATTATTACTTCAAGGAAAAAAAATCACCATTGTAAAATAATTCTTACTTCAAGGAAAAAAATCACCATTATAAAATCACCATTGTAAAATCACCATTTATCATTAATATATATATATATATATATATATATATGTCTTTCATCTACAGCAAGGTTTTGAAAAAGTGTATCTGCCACATCATGCTGCTTATCAAGTTTCTAATCCATCATGTTATCCAATTTGTTCAAATACTTGGAATTTATTAAGCAAGTGGATCTAGGCCATGTCATTGACATTAAATAATAATAACAATAATAATACATAGTGTTGATAATATTGGATTCTGGTTATCATGGCAAGTGTTATTATTTTATTTTTTGTTGTATTTTCTTTGAATTAGGGGAAAAATAAATTAAATATATTAAAAAAGCTCATCTTTTCCACAAAAATACAACTGTAGAAAGAGAATTTGTAAGTTTTTCTATTAGAGTTTTGAGCCAATAATATTTTTATGGAAAAAAAAAAACTGAAAGGGATTGTAATGTTTGCACTCTGATTCCCTTCTACCATCACAGACAGTGCACTCTTAGAAATTCTGTGGTTCTGGCCTGTCTGGAATGTTGACTTCTTCACACACTGGCAAGACTTTTGCTTGAAGCAGTGAATTCGTTTTTCTTTGGAAATGAGAAACAAAACCCATCTAATGCACTGCATCTGCACAAGTCTGAAAAATGTGATCACTTGCATTTGCTCCTGCAATTACATGGTCCTGCCTAAAAGCATTATTGAAACTATAAAATGTGGAACATAATGGACTTGTGGGTGGTCAAACAGAACGTTAGAATAAGTTGCAGAGGACAGACTTTGTCTTCTGTACCTTATGCTTGCTTTTTGAGGTGTGGATTTCAAGTCATCTGGGACCCAAAAGTTAACCATGTGCACAAGCAAAAAATTTGAGAACCTCCATACATCACAAATGGTTTTCTCCAAAAACCTCGCAAATGTAAATTATGTTATTGCTAAATGTGGTAATAGTTTAGTGCTATTGATAGCTCACCCTACATTTTTCACACCATAAGCAGGTGTTGTACATGAAGAATGTCTCTTTGTTGGAGTCGACCCTTCCCTTGCTGATGTTGAGCCAACAAAAGTGGGCCAGAATTATTGTGTAGAGGTGCCAATAATTAGG